TTTTTTTTTGGTAGGTTTTTGCTACCAGTTTTTACCTTGTTAGAAAATAAAACTGAGAATCTTACAAAATACCTTTTCATTTAAAAGTAACACTAATAAACTCATTACATGTTAACATAATTAACAGTTTTTATGGAAAATAACTATCGTTTTCTAAACAAAAACTTTTAGTCAGAAGAATGACAATGTTTTACATTTTTGCAAATCTCTTTAATGGAAGACAGCTGGATTTTCCTTTCTGTTATGCGTTCAGTGTGTTGCTGTATCACAGTCCTGCAGCCTCTGGAAAACTTCACTGTACACTTGTGAGAGTGGAAAAGCTCCAAATAACTTCTTGGTATTATTATGAAAATAGTTTTGATGCCCCATGCTTCCTGAAAGTGTCTCAGGGAACCCCCAGAGGTCCTTAGACCCCACTTAAGAGCAGCTTTTCTTAAGCAAAGGCAGATGGTGTTAAGGGTTGAAGTTTTTGAACTAAAACAAACTGACCCAGACAACCCTCCCCTTCTGCTCCCCCCGCCCAACATACCTCCCCTCCTGAAAGAAAGAGTAGAGAAAGGGAGGAAAACTTTAAGAACTTCTTAACATAATGTCACTGAATTGTAATTGTATATGTGAAGAATGTTGAAATGGCAATTTTAGTTACATACTTACAATAAAAAACCATATCTAAGGTTGATTTGTGGATGTAACAGCACTTTAGGCTCCAACTTTAAAAAGCAGAGGTTTATCCTGGAAGAACATGATTAGGAAGTGGTCCTTTTGCACAACTGGATTGTTGGGTCATGGCGTAAATGTGGGGAAGGAATTTTCTGTGTGATTATGTGAAGAATGACATATGCTTCTTACTCCCGCATACTGTCTGATTTCCTTTCTTTTTGTTTTTTCCCCATGATCCAAGGGAGAATATGGAAAGCTTTGATTTGCGTCCATCTTGGGTAAAGAGAGGAAGGACAATAAACTAAGAGTAGGCTGGGGACAGAGAGCTTTTTTTTTTAATCCTTTTTTTCCTAAATATATTTAGGTGATCATCAGTTGTTTTAATTAAACTTCATTTGTGCTAAAATATTATTCTCATCTCCAGAGTATATTAAAGGATGCTATTGTGTTTCTGAAGGAGCCCTGGTGGTGCAATGGTTAAGTGCTCGGCTACTAACCCAGAGGTCAGCGGTTCGAACCCACTGCTGGTTCTGCAGGAGAAAAGACCTGGAGTTCTGCTCCCATAAGAGATTTCAGCCTAGGAAACCCTATGGGGCAGTTCAACTCTGCCATATAGGGTCACTTTGAGTTGGAATTCACTCAACATTCTGACGTGACGGCACACAACAACATTGTGCTTCCACTTTTCTCTGGTTACGCTTTTTAATCTCAAAAACAAAAAAAAACCAAACCCGTTGCGATGGAGTCGATTCCAGCTCATAGCGACCCTATAGTACAGAGTAGAACTGCCCCATAGAGTTTCCAAGGAGCGCCTGGTGAATTCGAACTGCCAGCCTTCTGGTTAGCAGCCATAGCACTTAACCACTCTACCACCAGGGTTTCCGGGTAGATGATAAACTACCTATTATATATAGTACAGTAAGTTTCTAAGCCAGAAGTTTTGTACCACCAGGGGGCGCCAGCAATAAAGGATTTAAAAACACTGAATTGCAGTTTGTGGCACAGTAGATAATAATAAATGTGAAAGTTCCAGTGTGCATTTTAATGTATTCATAAATGAGTTATCCCGAACAAGCCAAGAAATACATATGCTGGGAAAGATCTATGGAAGCTTCAAAAGAAGGACACTTTAGAATTTTTATTCCAGCTCTTAATAAATTAGGTTATACAGATACTTAATAGTTTTCGTTGATCGAAAATATTCAGACAAAATAAGTATTATATCAAAGTATGTTTAATACAGAAAAAAAGATGGGAATTGAAATCACATGTGATGTTATTATTTTATTCCTTGATGTCCATATGTGTAATTCATAGCTGTTCTTTTAATGAGAAAATTGCCTTTTTTAAAAAGTTCTTGATCCTGAACTTTAAAAGATATAGATTCTTTAGTATTTTGAGGGTGCTTTTTGATTATCAACCCTATTGTTGTCCTCATTTTTTTTTTTTTAACGAAATCTAATTTGGCAGTTTTAGTTGGACCAATACCGTCATCTAAAATAATTAGGTATCTCTTGATTTGAAGCGTCATATATCTCTTGATTTTTAGTGGAAACTGAATGGTTTGGGGATTGACTTTAATTCTAACATATGTTCCCCCCTCCTTTTCTTTTCTTTTTTTTTAAAGGGTTCAGGGAATTTTTCTGTAAACAATTCTAAGAGCGGTACAGCCAGAAATGGTGGCTTTCTTCTGTAAGTATACAATTGGATATGCTAAGCTGGACAATATAATGGGCTCTTGTGCTATTTTACTTAGGTTTCGTTTTGTTTTTCCTCCTGCATGTAGCAGTACCAATATGAAGTGGATACAGTTTTCAAACCTGTATGTTGATATTCCCAAGGATTTGACCAAGCCTACGGTATGTACTCCCTATTTATTGATTTAAGGAGTTATAGTAGCAAAAAATTTTCCTCATTGTTTCATTTGAAATTGTTTCCCAGACAGTTTAGGAATAAAATTTTTTTTCTGGAATACTGGCAAATGCACAGCGTGCCTGAGTAAAGTATTCTCTGATGTCCCTGGGTGCTCATGTTATCTTTCAGGATTTCAAGATAAGTTCTAAAGGAATAAATTATTTACCCCAAATAACTTGGAAAATGAGTAGTCTCTTGCTCTTAGCTCAGCATAATATGAAGAGTGTTTGATTTGTCATAATTAATGATGCAGAATACTTGATGTTATGTAATGTTATATGTTATGGAAAAATACTTTCCTTGTAGCCTTCAAGTCTTTGGTTTCATTTTAAAATATCGGACCTGGGCCTGGGCCTGGGCCTGGACATGGACAGTGTTTTATTTTCATAGTAAGAAAGAGCATTGGCACAGGTGGAAATCCAGAAACAGCTGTGTAACCTTGACTCCTCTGGGGAGAAGCCATGATTCCATCAGCCCAGTTTTTGTGTTTAAAATTTTTTAAAATCCTTTCAAATGTAAAAGCTCATTGAAATGTCTAACTGTAGAACTGTACGGCAAAAAAGTAGTCCCCACCTTCCAATTCCACCCCTCAGAAATAACCACCTCTAACAATTTGTTACAAATCCTTCTACACATTTGTCAATATGTAATCCTATATGCATATTGAGTTAATTTTTTTAACAGCATGGAATTGTGTTTTATATAATGTACTCCTGTTGCGTTTTTTTCACTTGATAGATATTGACTATATTTCCATGACAGTTCATATAATCCAGGGTCTCCAATTCAGTTGCCTGCAGGGGCCAGGCTTGTAAGGAAAGGGGGCAGGTGGGCACAGCGTCAGGCTGTGCCCTTTAAAAGTGAGGCAGCTGCTACTTACTCTGGCCACTTGTTGCCATGTGGGAACTCAAACCTAGGGATGCCAGATCTACATTTTCCAAGCTAAAATGAACATTCCAAATTTTTATGTGAACTCTCCTGATTTTTAATATTTGTAAAAAATTCAGAATTTCTTTAAAACCACATAGGGACCAAACAAAACATATCTTAGGGCCATATCCCTTCTCCTCTGTGCTCCAGCTTGTGGCATATGATATGAATATATTCTGTTCTTCCAAGAACTCTATTTTAGGTAATTGGGAGTGGATAAAGGAGCCCTGGTTAAGGAGCCTTATTGGCACAGTGGTTAAAGCGCTCGACTGCCAACCGTAAAGTTGGTGGTTCGAACCCACCAATTGCTCTGTGGGAGAAAGACGTGGCAGTCTGCTCCTGTGAAAGATTACACAGCCTTGGAAACGGTATAGGGCAGTTCTGCTCTGTCCTGCAGGGTTGCTATGAGTCAGGATTGACTCAGCGGCAGTGGGTTTGGTTTTGGTTTATTGGGAGTGGGTGGCTAGCTTCCTGGTTAGTAAATAAACCTCTTTCTGGGGTGAAGTAACTTAAGCCTGAGTCATTGGATTAGTAATACTGTATACATTACTGGCTTAATGGATGAATAGAGTGAAGGTAATTCACTTAGAAGAAAGTCAGAAATGTCAGACCCATTATTTCTGAGGTCATTAGGAATTAGCTTAGAAGAAGTAGAAGTTATGTGTACGGTCAGTGTCATAGCGTTTTAATTAGAAATAAACAATTTGTGTATTAGGACAGGCAAGCCATACATGAACAAAAACTAGTAAAGCGTAATATGAAGAGCAATAGCTCGCCTTTGTTAAACAATGTTTTACAATTTATAACCACTTTAACCTATCTTTTCATATTTGTTTCTCACAGAAATGCTGTGAGCTCTAGCGTAGATATTATTATCCTGTTTTATATATGAGGAAACCAAAGCACAGTGAGATGTAACGGCTTACCCATCATCACTCATCTAGAAATGGCAGAGTTTAATTCTGAATCCAGGTCTTCTGACCAGACTATTCTGTTAACAGACCCTAGAATCCTTTCCCATTGTGTATTTGGGGCTTAATAACTTTTAAGTTGGAGAATTCCCTTAGTGATTGTGTAGGTTGCCTTGAAAGTCATTTTGATACATACTATATTTTAACAGATCCTGAAGATTATTGTGCAGGTCTGAATGTAATAATATTTAGATACTTAAGCTAATGGTGTTAAGATGTTACTCAGCATTTTTCTCCTCTTTGATTAGTAAACTCTTAGGTTGTTCAATTGAAGGTAATAAAGTTACTAGTTATAAGCATAAATAATAATATTTATTAGACTGAAACTTATCTTTTCATTTTAAAATTGTAGATAACCATTTCTGATGAACCAGACACATTATATAAGCGCCTGTCGGTTTTAGTAAAAGGCCATGATAAGGCTGTATTGGACAGTTATGAATATTTTGCTGTGCTTGCTGCTAAAGAACTTGGTATCTCTATCAAAGTGTAAGTATAACCTTTCCTAATCTGACCTGTTGCTGCTGTAATGTGGTCAGCCAGGAAATGGTGCCGATCCCGAATAGGTCTGAGCTCTTAAAGTGGCATAGAAACTCATGATGGATAGAGTTGAGGTTTGTCATATATTATCCTAAGCAGGATTAACCCTATCTACTAGAATTTTTAAGTACTGGAGTGAACAAGAAAAATGAAGGCAATCCTCTCTCTAGAGATTGCACAGACATGAGAAGCCCTTGTGTCTGGGATCTCCATGGGGCAGGGAGGGGCGGTGAATTAGGTGAATAAGCAATCTTTTAGGCCTTTTGGATTTGATGATCTTTTGTTTAGAATCTGCCTTAAGACTTACCACCCATGAGGTAATTCTATGCATGACAAGGCAGGCTTCATGTGGTCTTGCAGGGTCAAGCAGAACTGCCTTCTTTGTCTTGTCATTTGTTCCTTGTGGTGCTGAACAAGACCCATTTGGGGCTTTGCCAGTCTTGCCTTCTAACAAAAACAGAAGGAACTTACACATTTTCCGAAACACTGACTGGTTTTATGATTATCGATGTATCTGTGGATCGTCCTAAAACAAAACACATACAGCAGACATTGCGCTGTGTCCAACACACTGATGCTGTTCTTCGTAATTCATGTATTTGGTCAGTAAGGTTCTTAAAGAGTGTAAAAGACAGGCATATGTGTGTGTGTGCACTTGCCTGCCAACTCCTCCATTTGAATCTGTGGAAGAATGTTCTATTACTGTCTGCAGTGTTTATTTTGGTCTGAGCCTTATGACAGCAGTTGCTGTTACAGATGACAGTCTTGGCAAATGGAAGTCTGTAAATGGTAGTTAATGCCTATAATTGAGTGTGAGCCTGACCTACAAAATTATGGAATTATGCTTTCATATCAGTGACTCAAGTTTTAACATCAGTTAGCTTAAGTATGTTATCTTGCCCATTAATTTTCAGACATGAACCTCCAAGGAAAATAGAGCGATTTACTCTTCTCAAATCCGTACATATTTTCAAGAAGCACAGAGTTCAGTATGAAATGAGAACACTTTACAGGTGTTTAGAGGTGAGTTTATTTCAGACATGAAATACTGTTTTAGCATTTTGAAGTTCCCAAAACTGCACACTAGCATATCGTAACTTTCCTTTAATGTTGACAAGGTTGACTTCCTTTCAGTCAGCTCATGCCTGTTAGTTGTAGGAAAGTAACATGTCTTTTTTGTTCTTATGGAAATGGCATGATAGGAAAGTCAGACTCAAAGCCATCCTTTGGAGTAGTACATACTTTAACACAGTAATGCAGAGTATTACTAGTAGGCTAATGTGTATACAGCATGATAGTGTTGGCATAATTTTGATTATAGTTCAAAAATTCTGATCATTTCCACACAGTTCTAATAATTCTCTTCACATGCTAACTAGATTTTCCATGTTAATTGTGGGCAGCATCAGGTTTTTCATTCATCTGTTCATCCCCTAGGATCAGCATAGTCTTATAGTTAAGGAGAGCATGGCCTTTGGAGTCAGACTGCCAAGGTCCAAGCCCAAGTACTTACTAGCTGTGTGACCTGTGCCTCAGTTCCTTCATCTGTAAAATGAGAATAACAGTAGTACCTGTATCATTAGGTTAGTGTAAGGATTAAATGAGATATTTTTCAAAAGTACTTAGAATACTTCCATCACATAGTAAATGTTATTAAAACAAGCACTTCTGCATCTTTTATATGGGAAGCGCTCTACTAGGCTTTGGGGGTACATTATATAATTAAGACATAGTCTCTACCCTTAAATAAAAAAGAAAAACTCAAAACTTTTATCTACCCATGTGTGACAGAAAAATATACTGATGGAGCACACAGAAAATCTTGTACTAAGTATATCTTATAATCTAGTTGTTTTGTTTCTTTTTGCCTGGAGTTATTTTGTGAGGCTCTTGTAAGTATACTGCTTCGATCCCATGCTTGCCAAAAGCACTGGCTTTAAGGCAGCTGCAGGTAAAAGGAAGGAAACTGTAGGACTGAGCTCCCCACTCCAGTTCAACCAGAAGGCCTGCACTTTTTTTTTTTTAACTTGGGAATTCTATGCAAGATTTCTTAGTGGGAGAAAAGGCTCCACTCCATTTACAAAGACAAAATACACACACATACTTAAAAAAAATCTCTGCTTTAGGAGAACTGTTTAGTGGTTCCTCAAAAAGTTAAATGTAGAATTACCGCATGACACAGCAATTCCAATCCTAGGTATAGACACAGAAGAATTGAAAACAGATATCCTAACAGAAACTTATGCCCAAATGTCCATCAGCTGATGAATGGCTAAACAAAACGTATATCCATACAATGAAATATTATTCAGCCATAAAAAAAGAAATGAACTACTGATACATGCTACAACATAAATGAACCTCAAAAACATTATGCTGAGTTAAAGAACCAGACACAAAAAGCCACGTATTTATTGTATGATGCTGTTTGTATGAATATCCATAGTAGGCAAATTCATAGAGACAAAGCAGGTTAGTGGTTGCCAGGGGCTGGGGTGAAGGGAGAATGAGGAGCAACTGCCTACTGGGTACAGGGTTTCCTTTTGGAGTGATAAAAATGTTCTGGAACTAGACGGTGAGGCTGTACAACATTGTGAATATACTAAATGCCACTGAATTGTACGCTTAGAATGGTCAAGTCTGTGTAACTGAATTTTACCCTAATTTAAAAAAAAAAAAATCTCTGCTTTAACAGCATAGCCTGAATCAATTTCACATTTGGTATTTTAGCTAGAACATTTAACTGGAAGTACAGCAGATGTCTACTTGGAATATATTCAGCGAAACTTACCTGAAGGGGTTGCCATGGAAGTCACAAAGGTATGACTTGGATTTCTACCTGTGTTGGGGGGAAACATCTGTATTGTCCTTTTGATATGTTCCAGCTTGGTTCTGGCCCGCTGAGCGAAAGGGACGGCCTGTGGCCGACAGGGAGGCGTTGTGGCCATAGTGGTTGAGGGCCTTCCCTCCCTGTGCAGTAGTGTCAGCCCAGCAGAATCCTGCCACTGTCAGCTCAGGTCCTCCTGAGCCTCCTCTGAGGTCTCCCTTTTGCAAAGTAGTTGTCCAGACATGGAGACCATGTTAAGTGGCAGTCCCTGGAGATCACAGAGGATCAGATAGATTATATATGTGAGTGCACTGTTTAAAGTGCCACGTTTCCTTCTCTGTTTCAAAGCCCTGAAAAAAGGCAAGGGAGGTAAAAGGAAAAGATGTCAGGAGGATTTAGGGGAACAAAATTCATAAATCCAGTTTGTAGCCAAAGAGTTCAGTTGAGTCTACATGATATTATAGTTTAGTTTTTTGGTGTTTTTGTTTTTAGACAAAATTAGAACGGTTACCAGAACACATCAAGGAGCCAATCTGGGAAACTGTACCAGCAGAAAAAGAAGACAGCAAGTCGCAGAACCTCAGCTAGGCCACTTGCGCCTGGGTTTGAAATGAGGACCGAGCAGGTGTATGTGTTTAAATGAGATTGCTTGCAGCTAAGACAGTTTTGAGCCCACCTAACTGCTCTGCTGAGCCCATAACTCTGATCAGTGACGAGCAGGATGTATAACTTTAATAGTAGATTGGACTACAGTAGAATAACTGTGTTATCTAGGTTTTTATACTTCTCATTATTTCAGATCTTATTTTAACAAATGTGAACAACCTATTTTGACTACAGTAAGTGAAAAGAATCAAATTTTTATTATCAGTTCATTCATCTGAAAGTGAGTGTTTAATGTATTCCTCACACACTTTTTTGTTGTTTAAGGTTCCTGGAAGGAATCTTTGGTATTTTTGGTCAGTTTACTGAGCAGTTAAACTTTTGTTATCTACTTTAGTGACAGATTAGTATATACTAATTTAGGAGTGGTGACCTCCAATTTTACCTCATTTAAGCATTAAATTCTTAAAAGTGAGTAGACTTTGTGGCCGAAGAGGCACATTTGTGACATGCACTGAACTCTTCCTGTAGCCCAAACCCTTACAGGACTGCCTGTGAAAGAGCCACTGTAATGGAATTTGAGCTTCCAAGAAATTATTACTTACCGTTTCATTCATCCTGTGATTCACTCATTCAACAAACTTTTATGTTGTGTGCTTTGCACCCAGCACAGTAGTAAATATCAAAAACTGAATAGAAGTAATGGCTTTTGAAAATTGTGCAAGGCACAGATAAGTATATTTCCTGATTATTTCTTCACTGATAGCCATTGCCTTTGAGTCATAGCGACCCTAAAGGACAGGGTAGAACTGCCCTATGGGGTTTCCAAAGAGCAGCTGATAGATTCAAACTGCTGACCCTTTGGTTAGCAGCTAGGCTCTTAACCACTGCGCCACCAGGGCTCTTCTTCACTGATAGAAGCCCTTTTGGTTAATGGTACTCTTTTTGCTTGCAGATGTCTATTCCTTGAAATTAAATTGTAGTTAGAGCACTGAAAGAAGCAAGACACAAAGTGCTGAAGCAGTCGGTATATCAACCCCCAGGGAGTGATTCAGTTCCTTTTTATAGCAGAATCAGATCTGGCTTTTTTGTGGTTTCCTTCACATATTTGGGATAGTTAGGACTTCTCAGTTTTCCTCCTTTAGATTGCCTCTTCTCTTCCCAACCTACTATCAGGTATCAGTGTTTTGAATACATACTGCTTATGTATGAGATTTACATTACTGTCATTAACATGAAAAGAGTTGTAGCCCTGTGTCGCATGACCTCATTCCACTCATAACTCAGTTGTTGACTGTGTCATTCACAAAGGCCCAAAGCAGAAATCCCAAGGATAAGCCTCAGGATAAAAAACTAGTCAATAAACAACAGTGGTATAGTGGTTACTGTGTCTACCAAAGCAGCAATTCATGACACATTTTTACTTTAAAAGAAATAATTCTTTAAAAATATAGACCCACACCTAAGCTGTTTTTGTGGGTTTTTACAGACAGCATAAATCGCTGTATTATAAGAGGATGATTGATACATACTATGTTTTGTAGTAACTTCCATGTGAGCGCCTTCAGAGGTGTGCATTTACCTCCAGCTGTTTTTAGACTAAAAATAAGAACCCATAAACCAGATTACTTAGCTGAGCACTTCAGATTATATATTAAAATCTCGTTTTAATACAAGTATGCAAATAAGCTGCTCGGTTCAAAAACAGTAGCATTGTTTCCTTGACAGAAGTATAGTCGTTTTTAAGCCTACTTCTTGATATAAGCAGAGGCGTTTCTTTATTCGATAGTCTGAGAAAGTGTTAAAAAATAATATGAGTCTCAATAAAATGCATATTCTGAAAACTAGAATTCATGCCCAGGTCGGGGTGGAAGTATGTTGAGAGAAGACTGGACCTGACTAGAAAGAACCAGAAAGCAGGTAGGAAGTGAGATTATTTTTTACTGAGGAGACACCCTCAGTTCATTGCTCTCATATACCTATTTGACAAAAGCTTTAAAGTCAATGTAGGAATTGTAAAAAGACTTCAAAGCAGCTTAATTTCATCCCTCAATACCAAAGGACACCTTTAAGAAGTAAAATAATTGTCAAATTAAGTGTTGTTTCAAGATATCAGTATCCTAGTTGTCATTCCCACAGCAAGTCAGTACAGTATTGTTGATTTGTCTGATCTGAAGTATATTTTTATATTAAATAAAATAATTTTACCATCTTTTTAAATGCCTATGTCTTAACAATACCATTTGCCATTTGTACAATTGATATCCTCATTATTTCTCTTCATTCATGTTCTATCCCTTCCTTTACAAGGTTGTTTATATGTAATTGAAATGGGTGTTTAATACTTTAGAGTGATTGGTATGCTTTCAAAGAGAATTACTTACATATTCCTTTGATCATTTAAACATGTCACAGTAAACATATAATTATTTTAAACCAGTAGATAGTTTTTTAAATTTCTCTTGTCAGCAAGCATTCTTTTTCTGCATTATATCATTGAATTGTTTCTAGCTTTACTACAACATTAATGAGTAGCACAGTGGAGAATGGATTTTGGAGCCAGACAGCCAGAGTCAGATAAGAGCTCATACCCACTAACTGCCATAAACTTGGGCAAGATACGTAACCATGTCAGGACCTCAGTTTACTCAGTAACATGCGGAAAATAATTCCTACTTACTAAAGTTGGAGTATTAAATTAGATAACCTATAAAGCTCTCAGACACTTGAGTGCTGTATTGTTTAAAAAACAGCTGGAAAGGACCTCCCCCCTATCTCCAAGGTGGGGATAATACTTACCCTAGAATATGGTCATGAGGTTTAAGTTAGATAAGAAAACATGTAACGTGCTTATTATGGTAGCCATGCATACATTAGCTCTCCATTATGCTAAGCATTTTACATAAACAGTCTCATTTACAGATATTTAATCTTTATAAACAATGAAGTAGTTACTGTTATTATCTTCATTTTATAGAAGGGAAAACCAAGACTTAGAGAGTTATGACTTGTCTACTTAACCACCCTTTTAGTTTACAGATGAGGCTGAGGCAAAAAAAGGTGAAATTGATTTGCCAGAGTTCAGGTTACTGATAGAGACAGCCCTAGAACCTAATTTTTAAAGGGGCTATAAGATAAACTCAGAGCCCTGGTGCAGTGGTTAAGAGCTACAGCTGCGATGGCTGCTAACCAAAAGGTCAGCAGTTCAAATCACCAGCCGCTCTTTGGAAACCCTATAAGCCAGTTCTCTTCTGTCCTATATGGTCACTATGAGTTGGAATCAATTCAGTGGCGGTGGGTTTTTTGGTTTTTTTTAATTTTTTAAATGAGATACTCAGGAGCCCTGGTGGCACAATGGTTAAGAGCTCGACTGCTATGCTAACCAAAAGGTCAGCAGTTCAAATCCACCAGCAGCTCCTTGGAAATCCTTTGGAACAGTTCTACTCTGTTCTGAAGGGTTGCTATGAGTTGGAATCGACTCTACAGAGAGGTTTTGTTTTGATATGAGGTACTCAAACATCCATGTATTAAATGCGGAATATTCAAACTTATTTTTCAGATTTGTTTCTCCTAAAGCTTAGAAGTAAAGAGATTGGGGGAAAAAAATCTAAGGAATAATAGGTGGAAATGCATACGAATAAAGGCAAGAAGCAGAATGCATAGTATGGTCCTGATGGTCCCACTGGCTGACACTTGTCAACATGAGAGTTTAGGCTTCAGCAATGCAGGTCCTACTGGGTCACAAGAACACTGCATGCAGGTGATTCACAGTAGGGCTTCCGGCCAGGCCTGTCCAGGTCTCAGTATAAATTGGTTTGTCTCTCGGGCTATCTCAAGCATTTCTTTACTCATGGAGCCAGGTTTATGGCTGACTGCCTGGGATCCCCAGGGTTCTCTTTGCAAATCCCAGCTCAATTCCTAACCCTGCCCCCTAAATCCTTATTATTGTTATTCACAGCGAGCTATCATTCTCTCTTATGGACTCCTAATCCTCTTTAAAAAGATATATTTATACCTTATAGCTCAGTGGTATTTATAGGGGCAGGTCTTGGGCAACTGACCCTCATGAAAAGCCAATCAAATTCTAGATACCTCAGCCAGAGGCTAAATCAAGTTGAATTTCATTCATACAATTTATTAATTTGAGCACAGGGTGCTGTCCTTTAATCATTCCCCAGAATTGCTTAAATATCACTAAATATTAAGAGACAGACAGGGAGAACACCACGTTCACACCAGGCCAGCTGAGATACTGCTGCTAGAGAGCCACAGTTGCTGATGGGCACATGTTTTCTTCAGGTGTGTTGAGATGGGGGGAAGCTTGAAAATCACTGGGCTAGATTATCTCCAAGGCTTCTTCCAGTTCTAAAATCCCGATATCTTATGACTTCACCAAATAATCTGCTAACCCAGGCACTCAAAGGAGTCAAGATGAGTTGTCTTGTAAAGTTAGGGAGTAATCCCTTTCATTAACCCAGCACTGTGGGCCAAGCACTTTGGTCAGTTACTCCACAAGTGTTTGTGTTCTTCCTATGTGCTAAGCACTGTCGTAAACCAGTTGCTGTTGAATTGACTCTGACTCTTGCAACCCCATGTGTGTCCAAGTAGAACTGTGCTCCATAGGGTTTTCAGTGGCTGATTTTTCGGAAGTTGCCAAACCTTTCTTCTGAGGCGCCTCTGAGTGGACTCAAACCTCCAGCCCTTCAGTTGGCAGCCAAGCACGCTAACTGTTTGTACCACCCAGGGACTACTGTTACTACCTTAAGAAACACCTAAAACTTCCCTTTTGCTGTTGAGTGGGTTCCAACTCACAGCGACCCTGTAGGACAGAGTAGAACTGCTCCATAGGGTTTGCAAGGCTGTAATCTTTACGGAAGCAGGCTGCCACATCTTTCTCACACAGAGCGGCTGTGGATTCAGACTGCCCACCTTTTGTTGAACAGCTGAGTGCTTAACCGCTGTGCCACCAGGGCTCCTTATCTAAAATATAGTGGCTTAAAATAATGACAACTTTTACTTTGCACACGAGTTTGCAATTTGGGCTTCGCCAAGACAGTGTCTGCTCCATTTGATACCAGCTGGGTTGGCTCAAAGGCTGGGGCTGAATTCATCTGAAGGCTCATGTGGCTGTCAGCTGAGACCTTAACCTATATGTGTGGCCTGGGCTTCCTCACCACATGGTGGCTAGGTTCCAAAGGCAAGCAGCAAAAGCCAGGTGGAAACCATTATCACTTTTTTTTAAAACATTGGGGTGAAATTCACATAACATAAAATTAACAATTTAGTGGCATATGGAGCCCTGGTGGTGCAGTGATTGAGAACTCAGCTGCTAACCAAAATGTCGGCAGTTCAAATCCACTAGCCACTCCTTGGAAACCTATGGGGCAGTTCTACTCTGTCCTATAGGGTCGCTATGAGTTGGAATCGACTTGATGGCGCCTAACAGCAACCAGTCGCATATAATACATTTCACAATGTTTTACAGCCGTCACCTCTGTCTAGTTCCAAAACATTTTCATCACCCCAGAAGGAAACCCCCTACCCGTTAAGCAGTCATTCTCCATTCTTCCCACTCCCAGCCCTTGGCAACTACCAGTCTGCTTCTGTCTTTGTGGATTTACCTATTCTGGATATCTCATATTAAAAAATCAGAAAAAAATTAAATATAATCCAGCCAGGATTATATTTGTCTTTATACCAATAAGTAATAAAATATAATTTTAAATATTTTTTTATGGAGGAAAGGGCCCATGAAGACAAAAGTGCATAGGGCCCACAAAAGTCATAATGTGGCCCTGGATGTGGCGTCAAGGAAGGATTTTTGTTTCATTTTAATAAGAGTGATGATTCCTTACAACCAAACACTTCAAGGGACAGAGTAGCAGGGGCGGGGGATCTGGGGACCATGCTTTCAGAGGACTTCTAGGTCAATTGGCATAACAAAGTTCATTAATAAAATGTTCTGCATCCTACTTTGGTGAGTGGTGACTGGGGCCTTAAAAGCTAGCAAGTGGCCATCTAAGATGCATCAATTGGTTCCAACCCACCTGGAGCAAAGGAGGATGAAGAACACCAAAGTCACAAGGAAAGTATTAGCCCAAAAGAAAGGGCCACATAAACCAGAGTCTTCATCAGCCTGAGACCAGAAGAACTAGATGGTGCCCAGCTACCACCAATGACCGCCCTGACAGGGAACACAATAGAGAGTCCCGGATGGAGCAGGAGAAAGGTGAGGTGCAGAACTCAAATTCTAGTGAAAAGACCAGACTTAATGGTCTGACTGGGACTGGAGGAACCCCAGAGAGCATGGCCCCCAGACTGTCTGTCAACAGAGCACTCAAACCATTCCCGAGGCCAACTGTTAAGATTCGACTGGACTATGGGACATAAAATGATAACTCATGAAGAGTGTGCTTCTTAGCTAAAGTAGATACATGAGACTCAATGGGCAGCTCCTGTCTGGAGGTGAGATGAGAAGGTAGAGAAGGTCAGGAGCTGGTTGAATGGACACAGGAAATCCGGGGTGGAAAGGAGCGTGCTGTCACAGTATAGGGAGAGCAATTAGAGTCATATAACTATGTATGTATACATTTTTGTATGATAGACTAACTTGAATTGTAAACTTTCACTTAAAGTGCAACAATAAAAAAAATTTTAAAATGATAATTCCTGATACGAACTACAACATGGATGAACCTTGAAAACATTATACTGAGTGAAATAAATCAGTCACAAAGGGACAAATATTGTATGATTTCACTCACGTGAAATGTGTAGAATAGGCAAATGTATAGAGACCAAAGTTTATTAGTGGTTACCAGGGGCGAGAGGGAGGCAGGAAAGGGAGAGTCATTACTTAGGGGGCACTGATTTCTCTTAAGGATGCTGGAAAAACTTGGAAATGGATAGTGGGATGGTTGCATAGCATGATGAATGTAGTAAATGTCACTGAACTGTACACATAAAAATGTTGAAGTGGAAGATGTTACATATATTTTTAACAAAATAAAAGAGTGATATTAAAGCATGTCTGAATGCTGATGGGAATGATCCAGTAGAAAGAGATTGAGAATGCAGAAGACAAAGGGAATTGCGGAGGTAAAATCCTTGAGTAAGCAAAGAGAAATGGGCTCTAGGGAACAGTGGAGGAGCTGGCAGGTGGAGGAGTGGAAAAGGGACACAGATACAAATAGGTTGGTAAACATTGTGGTGGGAAGTTTGAGGTAGTTGCGTGAAGCACCTATTTCTCTATGAAGCATGTGACAAGGTCATCAGCTGAACATGGGATGAGTGGAGAGTTTGAGAAGAGGAAACGTTGTGGAGTAGTCATCAGAGAGCTGGAAAGGGAACTTAGCAGGAAAGAGTATGCAGTAGGATTGTCTGGCATTATTTGAAGTATGTGCAGCTAGCATGATTTTCTGATTTTCTATGGCAATGTTCAGCTTCTTGGGTGCAGGAAGGTGTTCGTGTATAGTTAGTGGATAACTTTAACCGGGGTCAGATTTTGTCAAGTGAGTAGTCGGAGGGAAAGAAGGGCACAAAAGTCAATGTTATGGCGAGGAAATGGCAAGAGTGCTAGGCTATGGAATAAGGAGGAAAGTGAGGGTCTGAGAGAGATGACAGATGGTAAAAGAAACGTAAATCAACAGATTGGGAGCCTAGTTAAGGTTGGTGAATTATTGAGGTGAAGGTGTTACAGTGAGTGAGCTGGAAGGAGAGGTGATGATGATGAAGGAATGCAGTGCTTGAATATTTCTGGGGTGGGACAGAAATTGATGATAGCAAAGTCTAGGGTAGTGATTCTCAAATCTTTAGTGTATGTTGGAACCATCTGGGCCCACCACCACCACTTGCCATTGATTTGAATCCAACTCATAGCGATCCCATGTGTGTCAGAGCAGAACTGTGCTCCATAGGGTTTTCAGTGGCTGATTTTTTGGAATTAGATGGTCAAGATGCCTCTGGTGGGCTCAAACCTCAACCTTTCAGTTAGCAGCCAAGCATGTTAACTGTTTGCACCGCCTAGGGACTCTGGAATCGTAGGGGG